ATTACGCAGTACGAGAGATACTCTCGTAAGAGAACGTACTCGGTTACTAACGTAACCTCTGTTCTCTCTAGAGAGGGAACGAGTACTGCGTATCTTGCCGTGCTTAAAATGCGCTCTGGTTCGCTTCGGCAATGAAAACCAGTTTGTATCAGCCTGTCGACCGGCTTTATAGGGTGAGACCACGCCCTTTCTGGCGGGACGTGATGAAGTGGGCGCGAAGTGCCCCCATTGGTCATGACGTCACGCAGAGCCGTTCTAGATAGGCTGCTGCTTTTGCCGCAGGGCAGCCAGTAGGCGCGCAAGCTGCCTCGCCTATGTCTGCATGCTGCCGCAAAGCATTTTACATTGATTAAAAATTAAGGATAATTTTTGGCTTCAATATCTCGTGGAAAAGAGGTTTTCCCCATAGCGTAAGATATTACGCAGTACTCGTTCCCTCTCTAGAGAGAACAGAGGTTACGTTAGTAACCGAGTACGTTTCCACTGTCACTTCCGGGGCTTGATCAGGTCTCGTCGGGGGCTCGGGGCCAACGGCCAGGGTTTTCTGGCCCGCCGAATACCTTGGTCCAAAGCGGGCCAGCTCGGGCTAGAGGCGGAGTTTACCTTAGTCGAGACAGCAGCCCTGGATGATTCTGTCAGCTAACATCAGCATTAAAAACTTTTAAAATAACTTACCTCAAAACTCACTTTCATGTTTGAATGCCTTCTGTTTGTGATCCGATGTGGATTCTGATCACCGTATAAGGTAGAAATATTTATACGCGATGCAAGCGAATATGCATGCTAACTACCATAGTAGCCTAAACATGGTAAATATGAACGCTTGAAGAAATCAGACAAATCATAAAGGCTATCACAATCATGTTTTTATTTTATCTGTCAGTATGTCTCGTCTCTTCTACCGGACTATCATAAAATAAACCAACTTTTTTCCCCCCAAGAGCTTCCTCTTTCTCTGGTTGAAAATGTAGCCTACTGGGAGAGAGTGCTAATTCCTCAGGTCGTATTTTTGGTGGCATATTTGTAGAAATTGTCATTCTTTCTAAATGTGATGTGGCCTAAATATGTCCTGTAGCCTAACCAAATAAACAGAAACAGACGCAACTGAATAAGTACGTCTGTCCTCTTTCTTTTTTGAAATAGAACGGCAAGCCACTTTATTTCTGTGCGGCTAATGTGCAATTTTGACACAAATTAATTCATTATGATCAATGTGAAATTTTTATATTGCAAACCTGTGGTAAAACATTTTGATGCATGTGTTTTAAATATTCAAGTAAACAACAAAAATGCCAGCAAACGGTCGCTTTTATCATAATATTGTGTATTGTTAAAGTCAGCGTAAAAGCAGTTGAAATGGTCTTTTATGACTATCTATTCATTCATTGTGATGTGAAACTGCTTCTCGAACAAGAAAAAATATAGGGCGTGACTTGATTTTATCCATTGGAAATTGATTGGATGGTTGTGGTTTGCTACTGCTGTGATGTCATGTGAGTGACAGGTTGATCCCGCCCTCACGCAGGAAACACGTCATCAGAGAAGAGATGTCTGCAAGAGGGAGATGAAGTTATTCTGATTAAAGATTATGAGTGCACATGCATTTTAAAAGAAATAAAATAATGATGTGCATGGATAAATCATTTAGGTATAATAAATAGGCCTACTGCAATATTACATAAAAAAACAATGCCAATTTTGATATCATGGTGACTTTAATAGTGTAGCGCTGCATGTAGCACAGCTCACACAGAAGTCACTATCAAACCAAGCAGCCTTCTATTGGTAAATGTGGAGAATCCGTGTGTGACCAACTTGAACCCATGTGAAATCCGAGAAATCTTTCGCCCAAAATTCCTATTGAAATGACTACATTTCACCTGCGAAAAATCGGTAACGGCATATATGGAAGCTTGTTTCCACCACAGAATAAAACATTTTAAAAGATAATTGCAACTTTTTATCTCACAATTGTGTTTTCATTCAATTCTGACTTTATAACTCGCAATTGCGAGTTATAAAATCCAATTCAGAGGGGAAAAAAGACTGACTTTTTTCTCAGAATTGCGAGTTTATATCAGGCAATTCTGAGATAAAAAGTCACAATTACCATTTTTATTTTTTTATTCTGTGGCGGAAGCTTCCATACAGCGCAGTGTGACATTAGCATTTTTGCAGGCATAAAATATCAATAGTGTAGCGATGTAAGAAGCGTACACAAAAGTCGCTTTCAAACCAAGCAGCTCAAAGTCTGTGGGGAAACTTCGCTCTCACACAAAATTCCAGATTGCATCAATTAGTATCAAAATTAGTTGATTTCGCTAATGAATATTCGCTGAACAGTGGTAAATGTGCCCGCACCTTTAGATGATGCATCATCATGATAACGAAGATGTAAAATTACAAATAACTTTACTATGTAACCATTAGGACATTTTACACTAAAATTATCGTTGCTGTAGCTACTAAACTGAGAATTTTCACATTTAATATTTGACCCCATTTACTTTTATTGTAAGTGCATCACTGTAACCCTAGTCTACATGAATTTTTGTAGTAACAAACATTATGTCACGTGTCATTGATTGAATCTAACTTATATTGAAGCTGAATAAAGTAATATTCATTTAATTCCATTCCCCTAATATTCTCAACCTTGCTATTCTCAATCTTTTATCGTTCTTGTTTGTCCTTGAGGCCAGTTACATAAACTGTGGCTTGTACTAGGCTACAAGTTAGTCATCTAATTTTTTTTAAGATTGGTCATAACTATTTTTTTGTCAGTTGTATATAAATGAATTAGATTGGTCAAATTTGAGAAATCAGTTCTTAAGACACATAATGCCTGTGTTTATGTAACTGGCTCCTGCCTCTTGTTGCACATTGCTAATTCCCTGCACCTTCCTCTCTCGTCCTGTATCTGTGTGTGTCAGAGAGTGCTGACTCTGGCTCTTCTGTGTTCAGTGAGGCTCGGATGAACAGTGCATTAGACTAGTCAAGATGGAGGCCGATGATTCAGGCAATCACAAACCATCTAAGAATCACACCACATGGGTGTAATTAACACCAGGGAGTTTTGTGACCGGAAAAGCCATAAGGATACGACCTGATGTGAAGACCGAGGCTGAGGAGGGAAGGGCCAGGTTTGATTTATGTGTATGACACGTGTGATTGTGAGTGTGTTTATGTGCCTATGGAAATGCAGAAAAACGGAAGCATGTACATGGATGGACGCAATGCTCACCATTGCATTTATATAACGTGGGCCCACGATAAAAAATGTATGGTAACTAAATAATTACACACAAGTTAATGCACAGCAGGAGGGGGAAAGGGGTGAGAAACAAAGAAAGGAGTTAGACAGAAAAGTCAGGGGGATTCACAACCCATTACATGAACACAGACAGCTGTATCACGCAAACACAGCGCAATGATTTTTCATACATATGTTTTATTTCAGCCATCATCGTTCCAGCCTTAGAATCATCACCTTATCATTCACATAATCATACTCCTAACTGTTTTTTGGGGGATTTTTTTTTCTTCAATTTTGTTTATTTTTTTCAGCTAAAATGTTCTCGCCCTGACTGCATTTTATTTTTTATCTTGCTCTAAGTCTCAACGTAATCTGAACATATAAAAAAGTAAACCTTTTTAAAGAAAACTAATAAAGCAAACAAAAAAACAAAGAAAAATATACCCAGAAACTGTAATACCATTTCAAAGAGGATATACAATATTAACAACATTAATCATCAGTGATTTGATGATATCGAACAGGTTGCTAGGTCAACATGTTTGTCATTAGTAGTGTTAGTATCAAGCTCATCGTCAGATTTTTGTGTTGAGCATCACTTATTAAATTATCATTGCATCAAGTTGACATCATCCATGTTATATAAGCATGCAAACACATTTCCTCGGATCATTCAGAATTGCACTGACAGAGAGAGACAGAGGAAAGAGGGGAGACGAACAGAGATAGAGAGAAAAATATGGGCTGGGCTGAACTGAAGAGAAGGCTATCATCAAAGTTTGTACTGTGTGGAAGCTGATGAAGGGGTCAGAGGTCACTCCACAGGGGTTGTGCCTCCACAGTGTAAGATCTAAGGCAGCAGAAGAGATGGGCCTGGAGACAGGAGCTGGATAGGGCTGAAGACTGCGGGTCGATACCACATCCACGTGTATGACGGAATCAATGGCCTCTTAGAAAACAACAAGAGCTGATATACGATAACGGACTAAGGACTGAGTGCACACCGGCGAGAGCGTGTGTGTGCGTCCTGAGGCCTGGCATGTGATTAATAATAGAAACAGAGAAAATATGAGCTCAGGGGGTTTCGATGGGAAATAATTAATTATACTGTATTGATGTACATTTCAATAACATGAATATTAGTGATTGGTAATGCAGTATTCCTCAACTGAGGGATGTGTGCGGTAGCATTGGCAGTGGCTGTACTGTGATATTAAAGGGATAGTACACCTAAAATTTTAAATTCTGTTATCAGTTATTCACTGTCATGTCTGCATGACTTTCTTTCATCTGCCAATAGGGACCAAAAACAACATTAACTTTTTGACTTTCATAGAAGAGACATTTTTAAATTTCTTCTTTTTTGTTCCACAGAAGAAAGTCGTGCAGGTTTGGAATGACGTGGGGGCAAGTAAACAACGACAGGATTTTCATTCTTGGGTGAATTATCCTTTTAATAGCGGCAGTGACCCTGGATATCAAGGGTGTGTGAATTGAGCGCCTTGGTCACTATGTTTCTGACCAGAGAAGCAGCGACCTGATTGAACAAATACAAGGAAAAAAACATTGCATCTGAAGTCAGTCCATAATGTGAAATTATCTCGTGGCACTAAAACGATAAAAGACATGTCCCCCTCTTTGTCTCTGTTTGCAAGGAATGCTCAGACAGAAAAGATAGTCACATTAGCCAAAAGATATGAAGAGAACCAGTTGTTTTTTTTCCCTTTTTCTTTTAAAGACAATGAAAAACTTCCAACATTTTATTCCTCGACAGCTGTGGCCACAAGATTTGTCCCTCCGTACACACAGAGCACATTTACAAAAAAAGAAAAGCACATCCAACACGAGAACACAGATCAGGCTAGGGACACGTTTCGGTGACGAGCTGGTTAGGAACACAACGGAGACAGGTCACTACCACATTCTACTGAGAACGACCGCAACGCGCGTCTGAGAAACAGACCCTGTCCCTACCAAGTGCAACAGGTCCTACACAAGAAATAGCTCCTCTAAGACACAGGACAGGAGACACTTGATTGTTCAAAATGAGATTTTCTCTGTGCAGGACAAAGGATGGGTTGAGGGAATTGGAGACGTACACGGGGTTACGGTGACATATACCGACACACGGGCATACACACGCACACACAAACCAACAAGCCAACGCATAACGACACAAAAAACGCACTCCCACAAACACATAGCATACATGGGAGGAAAAAGAGGATCAATGCGGGCGTCTTTCCGAAGCGGTCCTCTTGGCAGAAGGATGATGGAGAGCACACACTTCCTCTTTTGAAATTAAAAATGTCTAAGAGAACCCAAAAAAATATCCTGGCATGGTACAAAAATAAAATACTATGGCCAGATCTTTTCCCCCTAGGATATGTTTCCAGGAAGTGCACACAAATCCAAGGTCCGTCTCAGTTAGGGTCCTCTGGCAATATTTGAAATCAGTGATAGCTCCCTTTGTAAAAGTTCTCAAGGGGATTCAGTCTGCCAGTGTGTCCAGGTCAGGGAAACATATTCTCAAACCATTTCCTTCCGTATCTGGTAGAACAAGAAGAATGGCTGGACTCTAGTAAACAAGGGAATAAGGAAACACTGCTTATCTCAATGAGCTCCAAGCAGAAGGTGATAAAAATGTAAAAGGGACATATTTCAATACTGCACGACATGATTTGGCCAATGTATCCGTCCTTATTTCTCCTTCTCCAAATGGGAACGGTCATAAAGTAGTCCTCCTCTCCAGAGAAACAGGAAACAGTTGCAAGGATTCTGCATTGGCAGAGAAGACCACTCCGAGAACTTGCAGCTACTTGTCCGACTGAAAACACTTTCTAGAGATTTTCTAAAGCTACACACAGACACCCGTACAAACTCACATACGCACATGCGCTCACGCATACACAGAAACATTCGTGGTCCATAATCTATCAGGTCTCTCTCCTGATTATAATTTTTTTTAAGTAATTAAAATCTCTTTTTTTTGTAGGCTCACTTTTTTAAATAACTAAATAAAGATTATCTATTTAAAGTGGGAATGTTTGTCATATTTCCCCTGAATAAATCATGAATATTTTGACTTTAACATCATTCCTGAAGCAAAACCATCCATGCCAGTTGTTTTGTTATGATTCCATGAGTGTGTATGTCTGTTTGTGTTGTTGTGTATGTGGATGTACCTGTGTGTGTGAGTCCGATCTAGTCTAGGTGTTTTTCTACAAATTGTGTTGGGTCTGCAGGGTTGATTTAGAGGAACAGCACTAATGCAAGCACAGTCTCTCTTCTCCGGTTCTTTCTTGATGAAATATTATTCACAGGTGAAAAGAAAGAATGTATTTCTGTTGCTAAAAAGATAATGCAGACCTGATGATGAGAAAAAGAAACAAAGAGAAAAAACACTGTTAACCATAGAAACACAAACAGCAAGTTACATAAGCACAAACTACTCCAGTGAACAGATGGCTGCATTCACACAGTGTTTCGGATTGACAACTGCATTTACTACCAGCTATGACTGTTAAATAGCTTAGAAGTGCATTCTGTCTGTATGAACAAATAAAAAAATAAATATCAAAGATATTGCCTTCTTAAATACCAGAAAGTCTCACAATTGACATGAGTAAAACATAAAAAAAGAATCTAATTGAGGAGCAAGTTAATGTGTCAAATCTTAATTAACCAATAGTGGCTTCAAATGCTGTTTTAATTTATTTTATTTTTAGACAGCAGAATTTGGGTCACAAAACTAGTCTTGCATAGCTAGACCTTCACACTGACGGCAGAAGTTCTGGACTGCATGGCAGCTTTCATTGGCCCAAGAGGACGTCTGACTGACACATCACTGACCTATCACAGTTCGTTTCGTTTTGCATCATATTTAGGGGAGTGGGAATGTAAATTTGATTTCCCTAAAATAACAGACCAGAGTGTAAAACACTTGGACGTATTTTAAGGACTCTATACCATGAACTTCACATACTATTGCCAAACCAGGGTTTAGTTTATCCTGATAAGCGCTTATATTCACAGTTGTAAACACAATGGCTTTCTTCTTCCATGAGGGGGTTTGGCATCACAGCTTCCAGGCAGACCGTTAAAGATCCTGACATGCATGTGAAGGAAGTGGATTGGAATCCACTGCTGCTTCAATGTATATGTAATAATGAGTAATTATAATCAAGGTATTAATCAATATTTTTCCTTCTAAATATTAAATGAGTTGAATGACTTCTCTCGACTTGTGAGATTTTACTTTGTTATAGAAGTCACCAGTGTGATTACTGAAATGTTCTTTTCATGTATTCTTTAATGTCTGTATTTGATATCTGAATGCAGTAACAGTGCTTGCTTATTTAGCCCGGCTTCCAGAGATGAAATAGGGACTTGTTTTGTGTTTGAGAAAGGTCTTCAACGTGTTAAAACATATAGGGGTCTTGAAGCCAATAGTTTAAGGGACCATTTCTTTGTTAAAGTCTTACTTTCCAGTTAGACCAAAGTTGAGAGAAAGAATGCATTATCTTGATGTTTTGAGAAGACTCTCCTGTTTATAGTTAGAGCCTTGCCAAATCCAACCTTGGAAAAGCTGTGTGTCGGTGTGTGTTAGTCTTCTTGGTTACAGGTTAAGGAACCACTGGCATTATTGGAGATTGAATGAACTGTTGTTCGAGACAGGCTGGCGCCCAGAAACCCAAATATGCGACCATGACGTGCCTAACTTCAGGGTCTGAATGTCAGCTGCATAATCGATGGAGATATTCTTCCGTCTATCTGTATATGTGTGGAAAATTACTGTGTTTATCTATTTCTTAGCCAATGAGAATCATTCAACCTGAAGCAATGACGTAGCTTAGACCTTGGAAATGGTATAACTGCTGTGATCTTTGTAACTGTAAGGAAGGCGGCCTACGAACTCCTGTGTGAGTCTTGAAGCTGAATTCTGCTGATGAAACTGCAAACTATCTTCAGTAAAACTTTTCTTTAATTTTTTTTATAATTCTGACTCCGGGTATTCATTCTTCATATCTGGTTCTGGGTCTTTGACTGTATACCCCTTACACATGTCTTCCGGAAATCCTGTAGACTTCAACCAATCAAATGACGACTTCCAAACTCCCAAAGTTCAGCCAACTGTCCATAGGCTTTAAATCTGAGGCTGAGACTATAACAAATCAAGCTCATGTGAAGCTAATATCTTTGTTACCAGAACCTCACATAACTAGTTGTTCAGTGCGGTTCCATTTACATTGCACATACTAACCACACTCGATCTCAAAATTCAGATTTGATTCCTGAAACTTCAAGCAGCCCAATTTGGTTATAGAATGCAGTTGTGAATGAGAAAACTATGTGAACATAATCATATTTGGCACTCTAAAACATATATCAAACGTATCCTGTTGCTGTGTGAACATACTGTAGCCATTGATGTTTTCAGTCTGTGTTATTAGTTCATGACTGAAATCTGAAGTACTCTAGTGCAACCCTATGATGCATTCACCCACACAGATACCATATGTGAGGAAGAACCATTCTATTTATGGTGTGTGTGTTTATGTTGTTGTGTGCATACTCACATCTCTACTCAGAGTGAGGGCTGTCCACCACTATGTGTGGTTTAGGGGAGGCTGTGGCACTCTTTGCCACATATGCGTTTATGGATTTCTCCTGGGAGGGTAAAAATCAATGAACATACATGATTATTCAGAAGGTGATTTGGCACATATAATGCATTACAAATGTAATTCACAATTCAAGAGTTGCAACCACAGTTATAATACACCATAAATTCTATACTGACCAATTAAACTTAAGAATATAATGAATATCAAACATAACAAATGCAATGGAATTTTTTATTGTGTTTTAATGAGGTATTAATGCATTTAACACCACTGAACTGTATGATTGACCATTACATTTTTACATCTTTATGTTTCCTTCTCACAAACAAAAATGTATTTAAACTCAAATCAGTATTTCATGTCCATTTATTTATTTATTTGGTAAGTCTCCATGCAACGGGATAAATTATGTGCAATCAGTCACAAAATAAACCGCTTCAGGGGTCCTGATCCTGCTGTTGGGATTTAATATGCAATACATTAGCACTTACAAATAAATCTTATTTTATATAACCAGGAGAAAGATAAGTAGTACACTGATTAAGATTATAAGGTCTATTATAGGGCATTAGGAATGCATTAACATATATTATGAATACCATTATTATAATGCATAATATATACAGGCTTCAAGGAAAGGGTTCCCGGAAAGGTTATTTATTTATTTGACTTCTTTCTTTCTAGATTTTCTTTTAGTCTTATCTAGTGAAAGCAACATTTGAGTAGTTTATACAAATACCAGTGAAAATTTTACAGCACAATTTCAATATCACAACAGTTTTCAAACTTCAAGAAATAGAAGTACTACATCAACTAATTAAATAATAAACAAAGGAATGTAGCATTTACGCATTTTTCAATGAAATAAGCATTACTTTAAGTAATTATTTACATAAAGAGTCAGTGAGTGAGTGGTCCGCTCTTTTTCATGCCAATGTTTTCTGATTAATACTGTCAACATAATAGGCAGCAGCAGCTCTATTAGACTGTATTTACACTGCAAGGTCTAATGCACACATCCATTTTTTTGTTCCATCTGTTTACATTCACTAAAAACATAACTGATTGTGTTTACATTAATATCTCAGCCAAATGGGCATTTTAACCAAAAGGTGCATTTGACCGCAAAGTGCAAGCACTATTTACAGGACATGCATGCAAATAAAACCTAAGTACTACTACTTTTGACAACCTTTAGTTCTGTTTAAGACGTGAACCTGCTTGAATGGTGTTCACTCATAAGGACAAATGGCTATCAGGTGCAAAAATGAAGGACATGCATAGAGGGCACTGTCTATACACAACAACGCACAGAGCACATTGATTGATTTCCACATGCTCACAACAAACACACTCCATGCGGTCACGCTGTCTACCTCCACCAGCTGGTGCCAGTGTTCAATAGGCTTGCGGGGATTCGCCAGCATGGCTGTCCAGTGCTCCCTTCCCGGCCCATCAGCATCACTGCCCACACGGCACATCCCAATTACCTCATTATGACCGATACTGAGAGACGAAGAGAGAGAGAGAGAGAGAGAGAGAGAGTGGGAGGGATTGAATTAATGCAGTTAGGCTAATAAATGAAGGAGAACCACAGCACAGTGCATCCATTACAACAAATGGACGAGAGAGAGAGAAAGAAAGATGGAAAAGAGACACAGGAGAACATAAGGAGCGAGAAAGCACAAAGTAATGAGATATAAAATCAGGCCTAATCGACGTCATATAATTAGAAAGATACAGACAGGACCTTCGTGTCATATAGCAACCCGCACATTAAGACACACACACACACATTCCACATGCAGTCCTTTAATTACGAAGACACAGACAGAGAGATCACATAATTACACAGATAAACAGAGAACAGAAGGGGAGAGAGACAGAGGGACATTCCAATTACTGAATTACAGAGATAAACAAAATGAGGCGGGAGCACAGGGAACGGATTGAATGATTCGAGTGAAAATTTGTCACAGAGCAGATCGGTATTCGTTTATGATAGGTCTACTCATTTCCAAAGATAAAGAAAACGAGAGAGAGAAGATGAGACGAGAGAGAGCTGGCTGTCATAATCACTTAATTACTCGAAAAGTGAGCATGAAAAGCTTCTTGAGTGAAGGTGGAATAACAAATGGATCTAATAAGTGGAACTTAAATAAATCTTTCCTCTTGCATTTACTGTTGATCAGAGACAAATGAGACAAAATTAATTATAATAATGTTTACTGCAAAGCTAGTGTAAAATTAATATTCAAGAAAAAAAAATATCTGTTGTGATAGGGCTGGATTTGTATAGAGACAATATGATATAACTTTATGAAGACCTACTTTGATGAACATCAAACAACAACTAACCTATTGCAGTAGTGATGATATATACTTAGTAATTTCACAATTGTCCCTGTTTTTATTTATTTATATTTTTTTTATATTTAAAAAAAAAATGTTTTTCACCTAGGCTGCAATATATGCTGTAATATTGTAAAAAAAATTCAAATAAATTTTAAATAACTGTTTTCTACATTAATATATTTTAAAATGGAATTTATTTCTCTGATGGCAAAGCTGAATTTTCAGCATCATTGCTCCACTCTTCAGTCACATGATCCTTCAGAAATCATTCTAATATGATGATTTGGTGCTTAATCAGCATTTCTTATTATTATCAGTACTGCTGTACTGCTTAATATTATTTGTCGAAACGGTGAAACATTATTTTTAAGGATTTTTTGATGAATAGAAAGTTCATAAGAACAGCATTTATCTGAAATAAAAATAAAATAAACATTAATAATAAAATAAAATGTTAAAATAAACTTTTGTAACCTTATAAATGTCTTCACTGTCACTTAAAAAGTATTCATTTCTTTAGTAAAATGATTTGTTCAGATGGTTCAAACAAACAGGTTTAAATAAATGGGTCACCAATTCACTTGAGCTCCTGAATCTATTTTCTAAAATATGGAGTTAAATGCTGCTGTTTATACTCAGTTATATTAATCATTTAGTTTTTTTGTACAAATGTATTCGTCTAATTTAATGCAGCCACCCTAATTCAAATTTGCATTTTGTGACAGATAAACACAGCTCTGATAGTTAAAGAACTGACTTGAATTCAACCCCTTAAATAGCTTCAATGTAGCTTGTAGTGTAGTAGATAACTACTTTCTTAAAGGATAGCTTGACTGTAGTTTAACTACTTAAAATTATTAGTAGTTACTGCCATTAAATCAAGTTGTGAAGACTTAAAACTAAGTCAAAGTGTTGCAAAAATTCTGAAATCATATGAATAACATCATGAATAACGTTTTATGAAGCGTCTGCATGCCAAGAACAACATTCACATTGCAAAAGATTTTTGCATTGCAAAATGTGTTTAGCATATCATATATATACGTAAGAAATGACTATTATCCAACAGATAGCGCTTCTGAATGGAGCGTTTAGCACAGATGGCATGCAGCAATGCTAAGAGCAATTCATCAGGCGTTATCTGTGGCTCACAGATGAGTGGCTTCATTAGGAGGGGCTGGTGGTGTGCCGCGTGCCATTGGGGGAGATGGAATCACGGAGAGCATCGACAAACACATTTGGGGAACTCAGATGTGGATTTCCTTAGCACTGAAAGAGATTCTTAAAATAGAACCTGATGCACGATTTGTATGCACCTGATTTTCACAAGGCATATTTTGTTCCACAAAAGCATACAAAATATGGGCATAAAAGTGGGATTAGATTATACACACCTAGCAGTGGGTATACGTTCTTTTAGAAAAGTGAAAAACATAATAACTGAACAATATAAAAGCTGGACATAAATGCCACTCTGAAGGTCTATCATACTGAAGTGCTGCATGAAGAGCCGAGCCAGACACACACACACACACACACACACACACACACGGTGCCCACCAGACAAGAAACAATGGCTGTGTTACAGAATGTCTCACCACCAGACATTACTGTCATTAGTATTAGGCCTTCATGTATATTCATGAGATGTCTGTCTTTATGCAAAACAGTGCAGACGTCCACCAGGAATAGTCTGACACACAGGGGCATAAGGCCCTATGTTCAGTGGAGCGCAGACACATACAAATTTGTGCAACAGGAATTCTAATTCACAAATTACACAACAAACTATCTTATCAGTATCAGCCAAATGCCTGAAAAGATCATTTATTCAGTTTTCATTGCTAATTTCTCAAACAGCGTACTGTAGTAAAATGCACAATGCAGGTGTAGACTGAACATTTTAATTAAGTTACTTAATCCCTCTCATTAATAATAGTTTAATTAAAGGTACAGTATGTAACTTTTTTTAGTTGTTCAAAATAATGAGTCTATACATCATCAATCCTTGTTCCAAAACGTGTTTTTGTCTTATTCCTGATTTACTATGGTAAGCCTATTATAAGTGTTTATATTTCAGACTGGGCAGGATGATTTTCGTGGGAAATTGTGTACATACGTCACTAGCCCATGCATGCTTCGTGACTCGAGAGAAAAGTTGCTCCGGGCAACTTTGACGCATGTACAGTAAGTATGGTGTGGGAGTGGCAGAGGTTAGTTGTCACAATGAGCGAGGAACCTCTGGGGAATCAACATTGGCTTGGCTTTTTTGGAGATGGCGAGAACTGAGAGATTTGAAATGTTGTAAAGGTGACGTGGTGATGGCGTTTTTATTACTCAATAGGTGAGTAAGGTATTTTATTGAACAGATAATTGCCTTAAGTAGCTGTCTAACAGAGTGCATTGTAAAGCATTATCTATTGTGAAAGGTCATTTCATTATGGTTGTTGTAGCTGTGCGTGAATTTATTTTCAAGGAAGTACTGTCTATTAATCATGGTCATAGCTACAATAACGTCTTCAGCTATAGTCAGCTTGAGATCCTTTCCATTTAAACTGGTTATATCTCTTAAGCCTATGAGCAGTTGGATAACCATATTCATCCACAGAGTCACGCAGAACCAAAGCACAACCAAAACAATGTTCTTCCGTTTTGATTTTTCATCTCTAGAGGGCCAAAAGTTACATAGTGTACCTTTAATAAATGAAACTATAAAAGCAATTAATCAAATTTGTAAACATTAAAATGTTACATATTTAAAGCTCCAGTCTGCAGTTTTTCCTCTTTGTCGCCATCTCTGTTCGAAATCTGCAATTGCAGTCATTCGCGGAATTATCAACTTTACGTGGGTTGTATCTCGACACGGCACAGCAAAGAACACAATGTTTTGAGGAGAACGCGCAGCTGTCAGTCACCGCGCCGGTGTGGACACTGTCATACAGAATCACAGATTATTCTTTTTAGAAGTATGACCAACATAAGAATTTTCACCCAAAAATGTAATCTGAACAAGTAACATCCAGGTTTGTTTTTCTGACCAACTAAGGGAAAAAAAACATTGTAGTAAATCGCGCTGATTAAATCTAACGATCGCTTATCACGTCAAACCGTGCAAATTATACTTTTTTTTTGCCAAATTGTTAATGTCAACAACATCACGTTGCGTGACAACATTTAAAGGCAAGTAGATAGTTTTGAACACTGGCTGGTTATGTACTTGCTCAAAAATGTATTTTGGATAATTTTTAAACCCAAAAAGTTACGGACTTGAGCTTTAATAAGGATTTGTTTAATATAATATAAACATTTAATATGCTATAATAGATTACACATAATTCAATATAATAATATTACATTATAAGACATTTTTCCGATTCTGTTTCTAGGTCATTAAACAAATAAGTACATTTTGTGACATTGATCATGTGACTGGTCAGATGTTATTGCTTTTGTTGAAGCTCAAAATGGTTTTAGGATAATCTCAAATCCTCCTTGTGGAGTTCAATTACTTTATTTTTGATCTACTTGCGGAGTTAGAGTGCTGCATGTTCACATTAAATCACTATATATATATATATATATACACTCACCGGCCACTTTATTAGGTACACCTGTCCAACTGCTCGTTAACACTTAATTTCTAAGCAGCCAATCACATGGCGGCAACTCAGTGCATTTAGGCATGTAGACATGGTCAAGACAATCTCCTGCAGTTCAAACCGAGCATCAGTATGGGGAAGAAAGGTGATTTGAGTGACTTTGAACGTGGCATGATTGTTGGTGCCAGAAGGGCTGGTCTGAGTATTTCAGAAACTGCTAATCTACTGGGATTTTCACGCACAACCATCTCTAGGGTTTACAGAGAATGGTCCGAAAAAGAAAAAACATCCAGTGAGCGGCAGTTCTGTGGGCGGAAATGCCTTGTTGATGCCAGAGGTCAGAGGAGAATGGCCAGACTGGTTCGAGCTGATAGAAGGGCAACAGTGACTCAAATAACCACCCGTTACAACCAAGGTGGGCAGAAGAGCATCTCTGAACGCACAGTACGTCGAACTTTGAGGCAGATGGGCTACAACAGCAGAAGACCCCACCGGGTACCACTCATCTCCACTACAAATAGGAAAAAGAGGCTACAATTTGCAAGAGCTCACCAAAATTGGACAGTTGAAGACTGGAAAAATGTTGCCTGGTCTGATGAGTCTCGATTTCTGTTGAGACATTCAGATGGTAGAGTCAGAATTTGGCGTAAACAGAATGAGAACATGGATCCATCATGCCTTGTTACCACTGAGCAGGCTGGTGGTGGTGGTGTAATGGTGTGGGGGATGTTTTCTTGGCACACTTTAGGCCCCTTAGTGCCAATTGGGCATCGTTTAAATGCCACGGCCTACCTGAGCATTGTTTCTGACCATGTCCATCCCTTTATGGCCACCATGTACCCATCCTCTGATGGCTACTTCCAGCAGGATAATGCACCATGGCACAAAGCTCGAATCATTTCAAATTGGTTTTCTTGAACATGACAATGAGTTCACTGTACTAAAATGGCCTCCACAGTCACCAGATCTCAACCCAATAGAGCATCTTTGGGATGTGGTGGAACGGGAGATTCGCATCATGGATGTGCAGCCGACAAATCTGCGGCAACTGTGTGATGCCATCATGTCAATATGGACCAAACTCCCTGAGGAATGCTTCCAGCACCTTGTTGAATCTATGCCACGAAGAATTGAGGCAGTTCTGAAGGCAAAAGGGGGTCCAACCCGTTACTAGCATGGGGTACCTAATAAAGTGGCCGGTGAGTGTATATATATATATATATATTAGGGCTGTCAAATGATTAATCGTGATTAATCACATCCAAAATAAAAGGTTTTTTTACATAATATATGTGGGTGCACTGTGTATAATTATTTTATATATATAAATACACACACATGCTTGTATATATTTAATAAATATTTTCATGTATATACTGTATATAGATTTACATCTAATTTATATTATATATAAATATAAATATTTTGTATATAAATAATATTTTTTTCTTAAATATACATGCATGTGTGTGTATTTATATATATACAAAATAATTATACACAGTGCACCCACATATATTATGTAAAAAAAACTTTTATTTTGGATGTGATTAATCGTGATTAATCATTTGACAGCCCTAATATATATATATATTATATACACACACACACACTACTATTCCAAAATGTTGCTTTTTTAAAAATGTTTTTAAAGAAGTCTTTTGTGCTCACCAAGGCTGCATTTCTTTGATCAAAAATATAGTAAAAACAATAATATTGTCAAATATTATTACAGTTTAAAATAACCATGTTCTATTTCAATGTGTTAAAATAGAATTTATTCCTTTGATGGATTTTCAGTATCATTACTGCAGTCTTCAGTGTCACATGACAATTTAGAAATCATTCTAATATGCTGATTTGGTATTTATGATGAAACATTTATTACTATTATCAAATTTTGAAAACAGCTGTGCTGCTTAATATTTTTTGTAAAAACCATGATGCATTTTTTTCAGGATTCCTTGGTTAAAGGATTAGTTCACTTTTAAAAAAACTTTTGCTGATAATTTACTCACCCCCATGTCATCCAAGATGTCCATGTCTTTCTTTCTTCAGTCGAAAAGAAATTAATGTTTTTGATGAAAACATTCCAGGATTTTTCTCCATATAATGCACTTCAATGGTAGCCAAACGGTTCAAGGTCTAAATGACCGTTTCAGTTCAGCTTCAAAGGGCTTTAAACGATACCAGACGATGAATAAGGGTCTTATCTCTAGCGAAACGATCGGTCATTTCAAAAATAAATAAAAAAGTTAAAGTTTTATAGGCACAAATGCTCGCCTTGCGAACTCTCCTGTTTGAACTCGTTCATCAAAATGAACGAATCTTTTTTAGAGTCATTGACTCGTTCATCAAAATGAACAAATCTTTTTTCGAGTCATTTTTAAAGTGAACTAATCCTTTAATCGAAAGTACAAAAAACAGCATTCATTTAAAATAGAATTATAGATTATAAATGGCTTTACTCTCACTTTGGATCAATTTTATTAATTTATTTTATAAAAAAAATCTTAGGAATGTTTGTATTACACTAGAGAAATTGAAGCACTTACACAAGTGGACTCTATAGGAAACAGTGTAGATCTAATTTAAAGTTCTCTCTCTGACCTCTTATAAAGGCTTCATCCATTCAATGAATGGAAAATCCATGTGTTCCTGAATGAATTCTGTGAGACACAGCCTGTAAGCATGCCTAAAGTTACAAGTGGGCACTTCCTGTCAAGCCTCATATCACAGCACGCAGCTTGACATGTTGCAGCATGAGTCTCAGATCCCATCAAAGCAGAAAAAGGCAGTCATGATCTTACCAGTCATAGTCCATGACAGCAATGATGAGCGACACATTCTCGATGTTCTCATTGGGGATGTCAAAGACCAGAGCCTCATTATATGTAGGATTGAGAGTATTCTTCTTTATGGACGTCTTCCTCTTTTTCAGCCTTCGACCTTCACAAACCAGAGATGCCTTTACGTATGGATCTGAGAGAGCAAGAACACAAGAGTAAAGGAGAGAGACAATTTGTCAAAGAAATAGCAACAGCAGCACATAATGTTTCGACAACATTAAAAGTAATGCTAATAACGGCATAGACTTTTTTTTTTATCATCGATCAATTATTGTGCAAGCAATAACGAAACATTAGCATTGGCGTAATGATGCCTGTACCGAATGTTACTTTTTTATAATTCACCGTCATGTCCTATGAGAGAAATCTTTATTACATTACTTTAAGCCTTGCTGTGATAATTAAATTAGCCAACACTAATTACAGATGTCTCTGGTCCTAACGACTGCAATGTTGATGCCTTTATGAGGCGTTTTTGTTTTGACATTCAACTTTTTAGAGGTGCTATTTGATATGCTTTTATGACCTTTAATGTTATTTCATTATTCACATGCTGGACATGTTACATCAAGGTTATTAATGAGCAGCGGTTTCATCACGTCGCAATGTTAGCAATGTCTGAGGCACTAATGAGGTATCGCTGTTAATTATGAGGGAATTAGAGGAATGGCTGGGGACAATGAGTGGCCCAGGCACCTGAGAAGCCCGTGAGGTCCATTGCTTTCAGATTGGTGGCCTTAATGATGGTGACGGTCAGTCGGCCAGCTGTTGGCAGGTAACACAGTGAGAAGTTCAGCTCGCCCAGGTCAGCTTTCTCCTGCACACATAACAAACATATGGAAAGGTCCAAAGTTCAATTTGAAGTTACTGAGAGTAATGCAAATGCTGAAAGTAATGCAAAAAATAATAATAATGAAATTCATGGAAACCTTTTAATGATTAAACGGTCTTCCTTGAAATGTTTCAAAAATTAATTTGTCCTTTTAACCGAAAGGATAAACTGAAGGAATGTCTGTGGCTTTTAATACTAAATCAAACATTTTTAAATGATTTCTTCAGGTTCAATTGAAATGAAGCTCTATAGACGGCATCTGTGGCCTGCTTTGATTACCACAGATAAGCATTTCAATTGTCCTTGAATTTGTACAAATAAGATGAAAATGTGTTTACAGCAATGCACTTAGAATGGAAGTCCATGGAAATGCACCACGAAAAACACACTCTTTTAGGAGTACAGCCATGAGGCTTATGACCTGATCACGTTCATCGATTTTAATGCAAACTTGCTGCTCAACACTGTTATTCTATGCAAATCCATTAAACCCTGTAACTTTTAGAAAGCAAGACTACAGCAAAGAAACTGTGTACAGGTTCAAAAGTTTGAGATTGGTAAGATTTTTTAATGCTTTTGAAAGAAGTCTCTTATGCTCACCAAGGCTGCATTTACTTGATCAAAAACACAGTAAAACAGTGATATTGTAATGTATTATTAAGATTTAAAAAGTAAAAAGATTTTAATATATTTTAAAATGTAATTTAAAATACATTTGTTTACAAAGCTGAATTTTCAGCATCATTACTCCAGTCTTCAGTGTCACATGATCCTTCAGAAAGCATTCTAATATGATGATTTGCTGCTCAAGAGATGTTTATTATTAATATTATCAATGTAGAAAACAGTTGTGCTGCTCAATATTTCTGTGAGAACTGTGATACATTTTTTCTGGATTATTTGAGCAAAAGTGATAGTTAAGACATTTATAATGTTACAAAACAGTTGTTTTGAACTTTCTATTCCTCAACTTAATGTATCTTTGCTAAGTAAAAGTACTTTCTTAAATAAAAAAAACGTACTGACCCCAAACCTTTGAATTGTAGTGCAAGTGCATTACTGTGTACACAGTTTTTGCAAAATTATTGTCTGCTTTTTACAACTTTACCACGCTGCAAAAAAAAGCATTATGCTGTTCCTGGTTTTACAAATAATACTGTTTAATTCAGATCGAAAATCTATTTAGATTTATCACGTCAGCACTTGCATGTGTTTAAAGAATGTCAGACAGATTCTCCTAGCTAAAGCATGTGTTGGATGCTAGGATGCTAGGTTTGTTTTCCCCCTTATACGCTTTGTTGAGACTTTCATCTTTCTCTCAAGTTCTTGTTCTGCCAGAATTAATCATCAGCTATGATGAAAAAGGAACAAGGGCAGCAGAGGTAAACAAAAAGAGCTGCAATATTTCATCAAAAACTTCAAGCATCTGAGGTACATCTCTCCAAGATCTATAGAAGCTGCCAGCTTCGGGTCTGAGTCTGTACACGTGATGTGAATGCTACTGTACATGATGTGAGATTTTTCTGCTTTACACCAGCACCTCGAAAAATAAATTATACCTCAAGTAATTTGTTTTTACCAGCTGAGTAGGTAAATCGGTTAATGCCAGTGGCCGAGAGGCTGAACCCTGCATGTAAACATTTCATTGACATCCATTCACATGTCAGACACACAAATGTCAGGAACACACTCAAATCCAGCATGAATCACTAAACCATTTTTTAATTTGTCTTGTCAGACAAAGTAGATGGTGCCAAATTTATCTTATTTCCTTCATTTGACCTAGTCATGCTGTGGAAAATTTCATTTTCCTTATTTAAACACACTACAGCTTGTGTCCGATTTGATTAATTCCCTCTGTTCTCCAAAGGTACAAATAACTTTTAAAATAACAATATTCTAGGATCATGATAAAAATGTTTCTAAAAACCGCTCCATTAAGATGCTGTGGCAATTTCAGAAGTGCTCTTGAAAAAAACTCCTTTGCACAGTTGACCTTCACTAATTTCATGCAATTTTCCCTGGAAGGACGAGCACATGCATCACTAGATCTCCTCACACCTCTCCTACCAACATCCCCAAGGACACATCATCATCATCGACTTAGCATGTAATCATGCATGATTTTAAGTTGTAAAAAAACTTCTCATGAATATAAAATGAGCTTTTTAACTCTGCTTAAGAGAGATACGTAAATAACATTAAAGATACCATAATTATTGTCAAATCTGAATTGGCTAAGGTTCCTCAAAATGAAATCAAGCATAATTTAGTTTAGTTTAGGTGCAACATCTTGCCTCTCAACAAAATACCACTGGCAGTACAGTTTAATAGACACTAAATGCATAAATATAGTGCTATATTTAAATTTAAATGATTTTTTTTCCAGGAAAAACACGCCTCACTTCTAGTTTAAAATGTGGTAACCTGTAATTGTTACCTTTTAGAGTTATTTCTACCTGAATCGTTCCTTAAAAATTTGGTTTGTTGGTATAAATTAATGCATTCACTTTGATTCAGCTATATTAAATAATACTATTGACTTGAGATGTAATTTTCACAAACTGATCGCTATTTGTCTGTCATAATTAACATTGCGCATGTACCACGCAGGGAAGGTAGATTTTGCTCAAAAGAGACATTTGTGGATCTTTTTTATTAATGACAGCAGTAACTTATCAAATGATGATCAAGTGAAAGAGAAGAGTGTTATATCTTGGCACATATCCAGAAGTGTAGTCAAATGCCCTTCCAGCATTTCCTATTCTGGTGTTGGTGTGGTGCTAATGTGCTCAGTGCAAGTGCTTTTACATATTGAGCTGTGGAGCTCAAAGAAGACCCGGATTCGAGTCTGGCCCAGGTCATCCTGTTTCTCACACGCAAAATCACACGCAGGTGTGTTTCATAAGAGGACAGTGGCTCTCCAAGAGCGAAGTTGAATAGCCTTGCTGTACAGTCTCAGCATAGTACGCCAGATCATGATATTCAAAAATCTGGTAGTTGTAGTCTGCTGCATCCTTCACAACCTAGCACTCAGAACCGTTCTTTTTTTGGTGTGTTTGTGGCGTTACCTAATTTGCATACATTTTTCAGCAAATCGAGTGCTAAAACAACACAGACAGCATGTGGAACTGCAAATACCATACTCAATGCTATCAACCACTCCTTATCACTGAATTCCTTTGTGTTTAAGGTCTAATGAACCTTTAATGTGTGTCTGTGTCATTATCTCACCGCGGTTCCTTCCACGATGTCTCTCCAAATAGGCTTCTCCCCGGTTCCCTCGCTGAAGTCCAGCAGGTTATCCACCACCACTTGACCTATGAGGTCATGTCTGGAGAAACGGTCAAAGTCGTAGACGGAGAAGTGGAGCTTGCGCGAGTGCAGCTCAGCCAGGGGCACGCCGAACTGGAACGTCTCATTAAAGATCGGGTTGAGAGTTTTTCTGTGCACCTGCAAACCAAAGCCACGGAAAGACCGAGCGGAAATGAGAGAAAGTGAAGGAAATTAGATAAGCGGAAGAGCTGAGAGGGAAAAGTGAGTGAAAGGAGCGAACAGGAGATTGGTTAACATCAAAACTGCAAATGCATACAGTTAATTCAAAATGTAACGGCTGATATAGATGTATTTTTAGATGAACTAGGGCACTGGGAAAAAAAAATCCACAGGCAGGCTGAGAAACGCAGATCTTAATGAGTCCTAAGAGGGTCTGCCATCTGAACAGTGGATTATTGTACAAGCAGCGAGCTGACTGCTGCCTTGCTAGGATAAAAAAGATACCTTGGTCTGAAATTTCTTCTTCCTATCAGGCAGTAAGTAGATCTTGACATAAGGATCGGAGAAACCATTGGCATCCTTCGCCGGGAGGTCCAGGGCTTTCAGTATCTTAACCACCAGCTGCTCCGTGCTGTAAGAAAGACATGTCAGCGTCACCATAATTCACTTTGAACTATCTGGAACTTTCTGCGCTCGCTAGCCTGGGCGTGAGTTCATTTCAGCGTCATCTAACCGGCAATGACAAGAGAGTTGGTTTATGCTGAAATAAGCTGACATCAAGGCCAGTATCAGGAGAGCATTGCTGCACTGAGTTCACTAAAGCTCAATGGCTGTCACCAAGGTTCAGGAAAACAGGGAAAAAAGAGGAGGTGCCAATGGTACAACCCAGCTCAACAACTTGGAAATAATTGACAGATGTATGGAGTCGTACTTGTGCTGAGCAAGCTAAAAGGATCTTGTATGAACGTGAATATATGAGATAATACATCCCTAATGTGAATATAAAGACATGAATATTTAATGCGTAATGCAATGACTGTGGCCTCCAACACCGGACTTTATTAATAATCCAGAGCTTATTACGAAGCAAATCATAGGTCATTTCAAGGCTAGACTGCAGCGGTCTGGTGCCAAGCAAAGCACAGCACGACCGTGAACTTCTGAAGCAAGAGGCTCACGCAGTGTTTGCGCAGATGTAAATAAGAGAGGCGGGGGAACTTCTGTGGTTGCTAATCAGGCCTTGTTAGAATGTGTCTCTCAGCGTTAACAAATGCGTCACCCTTTCATTAAGACACTTAAACAAATCAGCAACACTGGGGGAGGAAGAACACCAGCAGAAATCCAATATGGCCTTAGACTGACTGACATGTTGCTCACAAAGAATGACATGACATGGTACAAATCTCAACAAATCAGGATGAAAATAAATACATTATTCATGCAATATTATCATCCAATTTGTAAGTGACAAATTTAATCATCTAATACTGTAGAAACATATCAAGACAAGGATTAAAGTGCTGTTTACACTGACAGCGATTTGAAGAGTCATTCATTTTCAAGGACAGTTGACAATTTCCACCAATGTGAGCAAAGAGATTTCGACTTCAAATAAATACTGCTTTTTCTTTTTTATTCAAAGTATTCAGTCAATTAGCAAACACCGTCGCACACCTGCAGGTGATGGGTGTGTGGGAAAAAAGACCATATAAGTAGGTCAAAAAATCTACAAAAAACAAGGAACTCCCGCACACTATCCGTACTTGCAAATGAGTATCTAAATTTTATTAGCAACATTTCGGTCTCACGAAATTCATCAGGCAAGACCTTGCAAGTATGAATAGTGTGCGGGAGTTCCTTGTTTTTTGTAGATTCAAAGTATTCAGATTTTTTTGTTTTTTTTCACGGTTTCCACAAACATATTATGTAATTGTTTTCGACTGTGATAAGAATTATTTCTTGAGCAGCAAATCAGCATATTAGAATGATTTCTGACGGACCATGTGACACTGTAGTTTAGCAAAGCTGAATTTTCAGCATCATTACTTGAGTCTTCATTTTAAAATATATTAAAACATTTTAAATTGTAATAATATTACTGTTTATACTGTATATTTGATCAAATAAATGCAGCCTTGGTTAGCATAATTAACATCATGCTAGTAATGCCCACTGAAAGGAGGTGGTAAACAAAATTCATCAAGTAATAATCAAATGATGGACAGGAGTGTTAAAATGACAATATACATTGTGTAGATTAACGTACTTGCAGCATTTTAACCATGATTCAGATGTCATAGAGCAGCACAACCACCGATGGAAGAGCAAACAGTGATTCATCCCCTGAATTCATTGGCTAGAGGTTGAGTAGGACCACCTACTAGCAACCAATGGCACAAAAACTCTGACATTTCCTCCGATTAATTGCTGTCAGCGTGAGCAGCCCTTAAGATGTTCTTGCTAATAGTAAAATCACATCAGATTGCAAAATAAGATACTTGCTGACATTTCAAGTTAGAAAAAACATTCCCAGATGCATTTTGAGCTGTCCAGTCTAATACACATTATATCAGTTTGGCGGAATTAGAAATTAATCTCACGGCAAGTGGCATGCAGCACAACAGCACACTTTAAATCAGACTGGTCTTTAGAAATGCACGGTGCTATTAGCACTCAGGGCTATAATTGAAAATGACAGGCTCTGTCTTGCCCACATTAGAGCGAGCATTTAAAGCAGCAACCCGGTGTGTGTTGCATCGCACAATGGCTTTTCATTATTCAGTGACAGGCTCCTTCAAACACCCCCTCCCTTCCTTTACAAAATCACTGCGAACTCAAACAAAAGTCATGCATTTACACATGCACCTGAAAGCACTCGTGTGGAAAACACAATGATCAGCACTCAGTTGGAATCTGACAAATAGATGGATAAATTAAAATAATAATAAACCAACATCCAGCTCAAACCTTCGTAGACAATGGGCTGGAAATAGCTGCTATTCCCTCTGCGCCGCATGTGTTATCGGCCTACTGCTGTGGTGATAGAAAGCTGCGTCCCACCGGATGTGACTCCGACTGACAGTGTCAACCTGCCCGCTATTCCCAAAATGCTTGTAGCTGTGACATATTCACATTGATGTACTGCAAATGCAACAGCATAGCAGGAGGTGTGATGATGTCAATTAAACACACAGAGATAAGAAACAATCTTGGCCACTAGCTCTCACGAAAATGCTGAGTAATGTCCGGTAGCATTTGCTTTAAAAGGAATAGAAATTCTGTTCATTTATTCACAATATGGGTGGGCAAATTGACCATAATGTTATATCACAATATCAGTAATTTTTATTTCACAATAATGATAGTTGTATATTATTACAATACCAACATTTTTAATTCAATTGAAATTTTAACACCAATTTCGATATCACAGCAAAAAATAATTCTAGCCAAACTCTTTCTTCTGTGGAACACAAAAGATGTTAGGCAGAATATCTGTCTTTTCCATCCAATGAATGTGAAGGGTGGCCATGGCTCTTCACTTTATGGAAAATAACAGCTTATTTGTTCCACAAGTCATTTTAGGTTTGGAACTACACTCACCTAAAGTATTATTAGGAACACCATACTAATACTGTGTTTGACCCCCTTTCGCCTTCAGAACTGCCTTAATTCTACGTGGCATTGATTCAACAAGGTGCTGAAAGAATTCTTTAGAAATGTTGGCCCATATTGATAGGATAGCATCTTGCAGTTGATGGAGATTTGTGGGATGCACATCCAGGGCACGAAGCTCCCGTTCCACCACATCCCAAAGATGCTCTATTGGGTTGAGATCTGGTGACTGTGGGGGCCATTTTAGTACAGTGAACTCATTGTCATGTTCAATAAACCAATTTGAAATGATTCGAGCTTTGTGACATGGTGGATTATCCTGCTGGAAGTAGCCATCAGAGGATGGGTACATGGTGGCCATAAAGGGATGGACATACCTGAGCATTGTCCACCCCATAAAGGGATGGACAATGCTCAGGTAGGCCGTGGCATTTAAACGATGCCCAATTGGCACTAAGGGGCCTAAAGTGTGCCAAGAAAACATCCCCCCCACCATTACACCACCACCACCAGCCTGCACAGTGGTAACAAGGCATGATGGATCCATGTTCTCATTCTGTTTACGCCAAATTCTGACTCTACCATCTGAATGTCTCAACAGAAATCGAGACTCATCAGACCAGGCAACATTTTTCCAGTCTTCAACTGTCCAATTTTGGTGAGCTCTTGCAAATTGTAGCCTCTTTTTCCTATTTGTAGTGGAGATGAGTGGTACCCGGTGGGGTCTTCTGCTGTTGTAACCCATCCGCCTCAAGGTTGTGCGTGTTGTGGCTTCACAAATGCTTTGCTGCATACCTCGGTTGTAACGAGTGGTTATTTCAGTCAAAGTTGCTCTTCTATCAGCTTGAATCAGTCGGCCCATTCTCCTCTGACCTCTAGCATCAACAAGGCATTTTCGCCCACAGGACTGCCGCATACTGGATATTTTTCCCTTTTCACACCATTCTTTGTAAACCCTAGAAATGGTTGTGCGTGAAAATCCCAGTAACTGAGCAGATTGTGAAATACTCAGATCGGCCCGTCTGGCACCAACAACCATGCCACGCTCAAAATTGCTTAAATCACCTTTCTTTCCCATTCTGACATTCAGTTTGGAGTTCAGGAGATTGTCTTGACCAGGACCACACCCCTAAATGCATTGAAGCAACTGCCATGTGATTGGTTTATTAGATAATTGCATTAATGAGAAATTGAACAGGTGTTCCTAATAATCCTTTAGGTGAGTGTACATCAGGAAATGATGACAGAATTTTCATATTGAGGGTGAACTATCCCTTTAATTTAAAAGCTTTCCATCTCCTACACACACACAATTGTGACATACTCACCTTAGAACTCTCACAGCAGAATATAATAGACCGATAATGTGATGAACAGGAACAGAAGTGTCAAATCATTTATTTGAACTACTCCCTATGTGCAAGGAACGAGATATCAATCTCCACACACCCATCTTCATCTCTCTCTCTCTCCCTCTCCCTCAGCCTCCTCTGTAATTCTGGCCGAAACACAGTGCTGTGTTATTATGTGTTGACAGGCTGTGCTGTTTAAAGTGGCTGGTCATATATAATTCATGAGTGAAACAGCCTCTCCTTCCTTCATTTCTCAAACATCAGCACTTTCCACCATTCTAATGTCCCTCTGCGTGACGGCAAAATAAAGGACCCCGTCTGACGTGCACGGGCTGCCCACAGCGGGCCTGACTATAACTCATTGTGCTGACTGCAATTCCCCTGCTTCTTTCTCCAGCTCGCCTATTCAATTGTAAGTCCTGCCGATGAGATCTATTTATAACCCACTGATGTATTGAGAAGCATGGATCCACATTGTGTGACAGTTCCATACGAGACACTTCCCCGTGGGGAGAGGAGGTAATGGTGGGATGGATCCGAGCACTCACTTGAAGGCGTAGCGCAGAAGGAAGCTGATTTTGCCGCAGTTGTCTCCTTGTTTGCCATCGCCCTGGTCTCCCTGGCGCAGCCGGTAAAGTTCTGGTTTGATCTGCCCAATGCTGGTCAGCTGCTCACTCTTCTCCTCACCGTGGAAATCAGGGCTGGAGAGCTGGTGAGTCATGGGCTTAGGCCTAGAGAGAGACCAGAGGGTGAACAACACACTCACACATGCGCATGTATAGACAAACTCCCACCACACTGGATATTTCACCAAAAAAAATCCTAAATAAATTCCTTGAAAAAAGGAAGCCTATTTGAACATTTTGGCTTTTTCGACTGCACATTCTTTTCTTTTTTTTAAATCTACTAACGCAAATGAGGGAGGAAAAGTAGAGAAAAAAGTGAATGCACATACTTATTTAAATGTAAAGTATTTATTTATCACAGTATTTGTTGTTTTGCATGATTCATTTTAAATGAACACACTGTTTACATGATTACAGTTATTTTTACTGTAGAGCACTACAAATCATGTTTTCGTGACTACTGGTCATGTTTTCATGTGATTCAGTAAGGTATTTAAAGACATTGAACCTTAAAGCAATGAAGTGTGCAGATATACTGTTTTCAAAAAGTGATAAACACTTCTGTTCAAAGGCTTGGGGCACTTTTTTTTAAATTCAATTTATTATATTCTGCAAAGACACATTAAATTGATCAAAAGTGCCCAGTATAGTACAGTAAAGACTTCTATTAAAGATTTATATTTGAAATAAATTATGTTCTTTTGAACTTTCTATTCACCAAAGAATCCTGAAAAAAGTATCAAGGTTTCAATAAAAATATCAAGCAGCACAACTGTTTTCAACATTAAAATTAATCAGAAATGTCATATTTTAATTATTTATGAAGGATCATGTGACACTGAAGACTGGAGTAATGATGCTGAAAATTCAGCTTTGCATCACAGGAATAAATTTGACTTTAAAATGTGTATTCAATATAAAGAAAAGAGTTATTTTGGTAATTATATTTCATGATATCACATAATAGTTTTAAAAAAGATATATTTTTATAAATCTCAACAGTAGCGTATGTAAGATTTTTCAGTAAGCAAAAACACAATATTGTACTTCAAAATAACGTTCTGCAAGACACAAACTACACACCCATTCCATCATCCTGCAACACACACAGAGAGAAAGACAGGAACAACAAGAGAAGGTCACTGACCTGGTGGTGACCTGCTGCTGGGAGTGGGCATTGGGCAGGTCTTTCGCAGCTGAGCCTCCTTCTGTTGCTGGGGGCAACTCAGGAGATGTCTGGCTCAACTTAAGGTTTGCTGGAAGACAAACCATAAGCCATAGAAAGATTAAAGGAGAGTAGTTAAGAGAATAGAGGATAATTAACAATGATCAATGTCTCTTAGGTCTCACAAAGAGAAAAGTAGTGCTTCTGAGTTTGATACAATGCAGAGTTCTGCTCACCAGCATTGTTGGGATAAGAGTCCATGTCTAGGTAGGAATGCTCCTGCATCTCCTGCGGACCCCCAACCACACCCCCCACTACCAGCCCCCCTCCGCCCTCCACCCCCATCGGGTCGGAGAAATGGGGGTGATGCTGACCATGCTGGGAGAGTGAGGGATACAGCGAGGAAGAGGAGTTGGTATCCTTCCTCTGCAACAGGGGAGGAAGGAGCGAGGAGCCCCCTCCACCTCCGACCCCGCCCAAACTGGCACCGCCGGGCAGGAGCCCCGATGTTAAGCTCAGACCCCCGCCTTCCTTATCTCTCCACGGCAACCAGCAAAGCTTCCAGGAGACGAAGAGAGAGACAGAGAGCAGCACAATGCCACAGAACGTTACAATGACGGAGAGCAGACTCACAGAGATCTCTGAAACAGAGAGAGAGAGAGAGAGAGAGAGAGAGAGAGAGAGAGAGAGAGAGAGAGAGAGAGAGAGAGAGAGAGAGAGAGAGTGTGTGTGTGTGAGTATGATTTATTACAACCTTGAGAGGTAACAAAAATCATAAGAAATGTAATGATTCTGGTTCAATTCCACTGAACGCTTCCGGTTCCTTAACAAATCCACTAATGGTTCTTTTAGGACTAGAACAATCGGTCCAAACTAGATACTAAATAAAAAATAATAATAATTATAATAATATAATATAAACACTATTATTCAACTAAAATTCATCTACTACAAAAAACCTGAAAACCTAACTAAAAATATTTCGTAACATTTTAATTTGTTTTAAGATACTTTATGCTTAATTTAATCAGCAGAATTCCACAGAGATACAAGATCTCACAGTCCAGATGGCAGCACAAACAGTTTCACATAAAAACATGTTTAAACATGTATAAATGCATAATAACAACAAAAAACTATTTAAATCAGAAAGAAAAAAAACATTTCCATTAGAGTAGTTTGTAAATTAAAATATTTATACTATATTTAATTAATATTAATATACCATTTCAAAATGTAATATTGTCGTTTAAAAAAACAGACATATATAACTGATTTAAGTATCACAAGCCTTAAAGTACAACACAGCTTAGTCGGCATTTTTGGTTCATTTAGAGTTTTAGTGAGTGAGTCATTAGACTGATTCAAACCGACAACTCACTCTTTTTTACCAGTTCATTACAAAGAACAGGTTTTGTGAGTTAATTCTACCCTGCTGTCAAAACCCTACCTTACTGGGAAACCCAAAACAATGACAGAACATCTTTCAGGTATTGAGTGCCAGATTAGAAAACCTACAATGTTAGTCCATATATTTTGTCTTAAAGGTAGGGTAGTTGTCATTGTTGTTTTTTAAACACATTTTTTTGCTTGAAACTCTCTTCACATCCTGATAGCAATCAATAGAAGTGGTCTAAATATTAACAAAATTACATCTTCTGTGATTCGGTCCGAATGCAATGCTACGATGTCCTAACTCCTTGTCAACCTATGTATTTCCATACCTCCGAGCACCTGCTCGTGCAGCACGTTACGTTTGGCTACAGTCAGGTTGAACAAGTATAAGAGCTCTGTAAGTTCTTTACGTTATGTAACGTTATATGCTTTAAGGTAATTTATCACCATCTCTCGTGACGCTTTGCAGACTGCTGTGTGTGTGTTCATGTGTTTTAAAGGAGGCGTGGCTTTGGAGACGCTCTGAAGGGAGGGTGGGATCTAATGCTTTCAAAGGCTAGTTTGCCTCTCTGAAATTGCCTACCCTTCCTTTAACCAACATTTCTTTTTAACTTCTCTTGACTATTAACTTTCTCTCCCTCACATTTAATTCACATTGCATTATTTCTGTTTTCCTAGCTCTGTAGATTTACTTGCGTTTCAGGAACACATCCTCATCGAGAGATGAATGCAGAAGTGCTGCTAATGGAAACGAACATCATGGAATTCATTTGGTTACAGTATTTTTTTTAAATGAAACTCAGTTCTCAACCCTAGGTAACAAACTTGATTGCATAACCTAGGATGATGAACACAGAGATATTTAAAAATAAAAATGTGCAAATGAGGTAGCGTTGGCAGACAGATGCTGCGCTTGGGGAATGACTGGGAGAAACTGAGGGAAGTGGAGAGAGAGAGAGGATCAGAAGGAGAAAAAGGAAAGGAGATGGCGCATTGTGCCTGTAAATTACCACCGGCTCTCCTAACATTCGCAAGCCCTTATCTGAATACAAAGCCAAGAAAACGATGGATTTATTTCCAAGTAAAAAAGTGTCAATGCCAATGACAATTTCCACAAAGATGTCCTCTAAACTGTGATTAAGCCTTATGACTCTGTCTCTCACCGAGTGTGAGCTTTCAATCACGCAGCCTTTAATAACAATTTCTATGAGTGAGCATGAGTGAGTCACTTGAAAAACATTGACTTTGGCAACTCGGTTTCAGCAACAGAGTGAAGAGAACAGCTCCTCTCCAACAAGCAGGGACAAACAAGTGCCTGCCAATCAAGAAAAACAAAGGGCTTGTCTGTCAGCCCGACTCTCGAGAGCTCTATTCAGATCTCACACCCACAAAGTTCCTCGGCTTACCCTGCTCGCACATCACTTCCTCAGACACAACACCCACCAGCTCTAAAAACCCCAAGGGTGGTTCTACCTTGAGCTACTCTGTAATTTCTATTATGCAAGGAGGCTATATCCTATGACTATCCACTCTCCCTTCATTTTCCCTTCCGTCATGCCATCTTTCTCAGTTTTTGTTTCACCATCTTTGTTTCTTCTCCCAACCACTCTCTTTTCCTCGATGCATTGCTCACACAGTCGCAGCTCTCCAAAGAAAGAGCCTGGGTTGGGCAAAATTCAGAATCGGCTCCGTTTCAATTTATAATTTGGAATTTTAATTGAATTGGTCACGTCTCGCAGGATGTTGGAATGAAATTTAAACTGGAATGGAAAGGAAGAGTAATTAATTGGAATGCAAACAGTCATAAAATAGAGGAATTTCAGTAATCCAACATAACAACAAAACAGGCAGGTCTGGATCATGTTGTTTCACTCTTTTTTGAAAGCCTCTAGTCAATTTAGAATGTTTTGAGATTTCTTCGTCCATGGTTCATAAAATGAGAGCAGTATATGTTAATTTAGTAATACATAAAAAAAGTTATTGTTTTAATAAATTATATTATATTCATTCAGTTAAACAAAATTTTAATATAATGAATAAATAATTCTCTCTCTCTATTCAAATTGAACATTTTCACACACACGCATATAATATACAGTTACTAAAAAACACACACACATATATATATATATATTTAGTTATGTTACCTCCTTAAATTCACCTTTGGGTTTCATCATGTTAATAAATACACAAATATTATTATTGTGGTAAAATGTGTCTGTATAAAGACACAATTCCAGATCTAAATTATCAGCTGAGTAACAGTTTAGACAAAAACCTAAGGTTAAAAATAGGGTTTTTTTCTGTTTCACCTAGTGCAATTCAGAAATTGCCAAACCTTGGCATGACTGCACACACACGCAACCTCTTCTGGTATGTTACAGGAGAGACATCATGCTTTCCATCCTCATCTTACATCACCTTCATCATTTGTCTCCCTTGCATCTCCTATGCCCTCCTCCTCATCCTTTCCTTCTCCCCCTCCTTCCACCCTTCTTATCCTCCCTCTTGCTGTTTTCCTTCTTCCTTTCTCTGTACTTTCTGTCTCTCTTTGGTGAATAATTCATCAGTCTCTGTATGTCATTAATCACTACTTGTTCAAAGATATGATCAGAGAGAGATACAGAGGGAGGAGAGAAGGGACTGATCTGTCAGCTTGAAGAACAAGACACAGACAGAGAGAGTGAGAAAAACGTAAATAGCAAGAGAAAACGGAAGAGACTGGGACAGGAAAGGAGATCAGAGATATGAATGGAGGAGGGATGGAAATGGAGAGAGAAGGCATGAAAAATTATAATGTGGAAAAAAGGAGGTGAAGCAGTTGTTTGTGTGTATAATAAAGGATTAAAAAAAGAGCTAAATAAATAAATGTATAAAACTATTATAAATTATAATATATGACATTATATTATAAAAAATTCACCAACATTTAATTAATCAACTCATAATAACAATAACTATTAATTGTGTTAATATAGTGATAGCGTTTCTGTGGTCTCACTTCAATAACAACTGCCTGTTATACACCGGTGTACGTAATTTTTCATTTCACTGTATTCAGGTTCACTGGCAACAAGAAGTTCATTTTAATGAAATATGAACAATGAAAAAAGTTATGGATTGCTAAAAGAGAGGCTATTCAATGCAGCCTTGAGTTTCATGGCTATAAACTGAGAATAATTTATATACTACTTAAAAATGTAGGTAGTGTTTTTCCCCAGACCTGGAGTGTTGGGTGGTCCACAAATTGTACTGTAGTCCACAGCTGAAAAATAGGGTCACTAACTGATGTGTTGGTCATCAAGCGAAACCAAAACCAAACATGAGCACTTTTAAACTGGTAATGCGCAGCTTGGACCAGCAAAGAAACTAGCTAACATGTTCCAAAACAAAGCTGCCAGCTTAAAGTGGATTTTCCAGCAGGGAGCCGACAGAGAGGGAGAATGAAAAGAAAACAAAACTAGGACAAATCAGAGGAAAGAGGGAGGGGCCAAGAAGGAGCTAACAGATTAGTGTACATGTTGAAGCAGACACATCGGCTGACTGGTCAAGATAACGCATTCACTCCACACGTCAAAGGTGAGGAAAAGAGAGAGATAGTGCCAGAGAGGGGTTAATAAAGTCCGCAAGCATTCCCCAGTGAAAAAAATAAGCCTGAAAAAAAAGTGGACAGTGATGGAGAGAGGAAGAGAGAGAAGGATGGCTGGTGCGGGAGAGGCGGAACTGCAGGAATGAAAGATGCGGAGCCAAACAAACGGACACTGATGGAGAGAAAGAACTGAACGCGGGAGGGGTTTGGGATTAAAAAGGTTAATGTATTGATCTGATTGCAAAGAAAGACTGTTCAGAAGCAGTATATCTGGGGAGGGAGTTTGATCTACAAACTCTGGGTTGACTGAACCAGGAGGATTGGCGTTCTGCCCCGATGCCAAGCTTTCATTTCATCTTGTCTCATAGACTTTTCCACACCATCACCACCTCCTAAGAGCTGGGTAAGGTTGCACCAGCCCATCACAGTCTGAACTGAGTATACGTAATTTGGTTACAGCAATCCTTCCTAAAGCAACAGTAGCTAGTCATTTGTAAGCTGTCCGTGCAGTCATTTGACATTTACCAAAATTAAAAGTAGTCTTGAATTTCAGTTTATATCAACAAATATTTAGTTGAGTCATTTTTTAGACCTAGTTGTACAGTAGCTTACGCACGGTTGGTGCAACCTGCCCCTGATGCCGAACACAGTCGGTCTAATCTTTCGTTTTTATTCCATCAGCGAATAAAAGCATTCACATAATTTCACTCTCGCTGTGATTTAAAACCATGCAGTAGGGGAGAAATCAAATGTAAGAGTCACTTTTGGTTTTCATCCTGAGTGTGTTAATAAATACACTTTGATATAAAATGGAAAGTGGCAAAATGTCTCCGGATAAAGCAGCAAATCCAAATTGAAATTTTCAATCCTGCAGTACAACTCAGCGGTAACTGACCATGGCTTAGACAGAGACCCAGGCTTAAAAATAGTCTGTTTCACCTTGATACACTATGGTTGACAGCATGACTACCCTTCCGCTGTAGTGCACATATGGGCCATACTGTGAGTACAGAAGAGTTTAAAGAGCCTCGGGCAGCTTCCCTCAGTTTCCCACTAATTAATAATATGGTAAGCTGGCCGTCCTGCTCAGCTATGCATGTCACCACAATGCATTCAGCAAAACAACATCATGAACCAGACTTTCCCTTAGCTACATTAGAGCTTTCCAGCTTTTGATCACCAGGTAAAGGTGTCAGATTTTCTTTAGCAGACGGTTTGAACGTCTTTCACTCTAATCGTTTGCTTCGCTTACATAAGCGAGGGTCAGAGTATCATTCATACAATCGATTTTAAATCATGTATTATAAGTCCCTTATAAAGTTACTGGCCACTGCCAAGTTTTTTGCTTTTTCAATTCAAGAAAGCCAATTTCACTCACATTTGGAGCTTCCTGAGTGACAATTTTCCTCTAATGTTGCACTGCTTGGAAATTTGGTATAGTAGCCCTTTTTGCATTGCGTTCTTCCTTAGATGAATTGCTTGGGCTATTTACATTTGCGAGTTGCTATTGGCTAAAAGCCTCAGCTAAATGAATAATTGTAAAATCTAAATGTGATTTTGGACACTGCTTCTAGCATATATTTCATGATACCAAATGCCAGATTCAATCCAGCGCTGCCTTAACTAATGGCCGACAATTAGTCATTATGTGAAAACCTGTTAAGATAAGCAAATGTCCAGAATTCATTCAAAATGGTGGGATTTATTATAATAAAACTAAGCAAAACATCTTGCGTGCACTATAACATTCAACAGTGTTTCGGTTTTGACATGCTCCAAAAATTAAACCCTTGCTTGAGCTTAAAGAAATGGTTTAAAAGTAAAAAGTGTTTTTTGGGGTATAGTAAAGGGATAGTTCACCCAAAAATGAAAATCATGTCATCATTTACTTATCCTCATGCTGTTCCAAACCTGTATGACTTTTATTCTCCAGAACACAAAAGGAGAATTTTAAAAGAATGTTCCAAATGTTTTTGTACATACAATGAAAGTCAATGGGCTCCACAACAACACTGCACCCCTCACTATATGGACAAATATTTTCTAAATATCATCTTTTGTGTCCATGGACAGAAATAAAGTCACACAGGTTTACAAATGATGACAACATTTTCATTTTTGGGTAAACTAGCCCTTTAATAAAAAAAAGATGATTATTCTCTTGATGAAACCTCTCTCTGGTATACATTTGGGTGATTTTAGGGTGTTTGGAGACCCTATGATAAAGGTAAGCCTGTGCAGCTTCATTCCTTCCCCCTCTTTTCACAAGGAGCTTAGAGCCATTTCAATTACCTGTGGTTGTGCCATTTCATATTAAACAGAATGCAAGTCCAATTCAATTTCAATCACTGGACACTTGGGAATTTAAACAATAATGACTAAATCTGTAAACAGGACAGTCTCACTCTGAACACAGCATCCAACCATAGCACCTGTGGTGGGCATGGTGTGAATACAAATAAAAACGGCCGGGCGCAATTACATGAACGAGCAGCTTTTTTCCAGTGCGGCTCTTTCCTGGTCTCATAGCTCAATGAGGTGGGCTGATGATGAAAATAACCCTTTGAGGCCATATGTCTGGCTGAAGTCAATATTTTGGTTAGAAGTTGGACATAAATCATAGCAATTCATGCTTTGAAACAGTTTAAAGCAATAGTTCAACCATAAATGAACATTCTGTCATCGATTTACCACCCTCATGGCTTTCCAAACCTGTAACACACAAGACTTGGCATATAAGTCATATGGACCACTGCTTTTGTGTCCTTTTTGTAAGCTACAGACGTCATTTGTTGTCACCATTTTTTTATTAAACTGTAATGGATTCTAAAGAATAACGTTTCAACAAGGAGCTGAGATGGTCTCTTTATGATAATTGATTGAAACTTTTAATGGTTGCTAAACCCACTGGTAAAGTGAGCAACAATCTCTCTTCTCATTACTGAATTGTATGTGCATTGCTCACGCGTTGTTTTTGTGAACATCCATGAGTTCTTGTCATGGTGAAGGCCAAAACCAATTCAATTCAATATTTTGGTTAGAAGTTGGGACATAAAGCATAGCAATTCATGCTTTGAATAGGCTTTAAATCAATACTGCATCCAAAAGTGAAAATTCTGTCATTTTACCATCCTCCTGCCTTTCCAAACCTGTAAAGGGCCGTTCACACCAAGAACGATAACGATAAACATAAAAACTATCTTAGTGTTCACACCAGTGGGCGATATTGTTCTGTTTATTCTAGTGTGCGCTGCAGGCTTGTCATCTGCAACTTTAAATGCTCCAGATCTTTAAAGCAGGATGGATTCTGAATGTTTCAGTCAATCAGCTGGAAAAATCAATCTGAAAGTGATTCCATCGATATGGTTTCTCTATGCCGTTATAGTTGTGGTGTGGACTCTGCGATTCTTTTATATTAACAATGATTTTTAGACCTATATCTTTATCGTTATTGTCCTTGGTGTGAAAGGGCCTTAATACTGTCTTTCTTCTGTGAAACTTTAGAAGACTTAGCATATAAGTCGAAAGGACCACTTTTATGAAGCTTTTATGTCCTTTCTGTAGTTTGAAAGCTCCAGTCCTCATCAATTGTTGCATGGACAACAGTGACCTATACATCATCTTTTGTGTTCCTTGGGCAAGATAGTAAGCCATACTGGTTCGTAACAACATGAAGTGGAGTAAACGATGACAAAATACTTATTTTTGGATCAGCCATCCCTTTAATGGGTTTTGCTGTGTTCTTACCTGTGTTCATCTGTCTGTTAGGTCTTCTCATCAAGTAAATGAATTCTCGGCAACTCTCACTCTGGCTGAAGCCTCCAGACTGGAAGCACAGTTCCTCCACCAGCGCCAACGCCTTCTTACAAAGGTCGTCTTCCCAGTCCCCCGACATCCTCCAATCCGCATCGCACACCCACCCTGCACTCAACCAATCGTGCCGCAGCCCTCACCGCCCACACCAACTGGACGGGTGTGTCTGGCCACTTTCTACCGTAGGATTCTGATAAAACAGGAACTCGCTTTCGATTCTGAAGGACAATGTTTCAACGAGGACCTGAGACAGTCTCTTTATGACATGATCTCTTTATGATATTAATAGCTGCTAAACCCAGTGGTAAGTGAGCCACAATCTCTCTTTTCAATAATAACATAGGCTCCTGGGGGGCAAACAGGAGAGAGGGGAAAAAAGAAGGAATGAGAGCAAGGGAGAACACATTGCATACATTTATGAAGTAAAATTAAAACATTGAAAAAATCCGTTATACAATTGTTTATACATTGCTCACGAGTTGTTTTTTGTGCACATACTTGTTATAAAGGATAGCAATGACATCCCTGAGTCCTTGTCATAGTGAAGGAGGAGGGAATTCAATTATAGAGAAATGTTTTCTTCAATGGATAAACAGCGAGACTATATTTAAGTCTGTTGTTCAAAAAGCATAGCCTAGATTTCGTGGGCTATTACTCTCAGTTAATTCATCAGTCAGGGAAGAGGAGAGTGTTTGCAGGCTTGGTCCTTAAAGCAGCATCAGGGCAGGGTAAAATCTGAGACGTATGGTGTATTTCCACTAGATTTCTCTCTTTGTTTTTTCATTCAAGGTTTGATGTTCATTAAGGTCCATGGCTGTATTTCTGGAATGTTCTACAGGAGCTTTGAAGTTGCCTGAAAAGAGAGGAAGAGAGAGCGAGAGAGAAAATGAGGCACACATCATAAAAAAAAAACTGCTGTAAAATGATGGTTAAATTATAAAGGCAACCCGCTGGGCTTGCAGAGCTCAATAGCATGCAGAGAAGAACTGTTCATTTTGGATATCTATTTCTTCCCAAAAACAAACGGCTCTCCTTGTACAGTGCATCTCGGGAACAAGGATGTGGTCAACCACAAAACAAGTTTATCTTGGTAAACTGTTGTTGCTTGATACTCTGAAGATTAAAGGTGAAGTGTAATTTCTACTCCATTAACGATGCTAAACTTGTATTGCTAATTAGAGCTGCTCGACACATTGGCTCAACCAATGGTGTGAGTTTTGGGCGAGGATATCGATCTTTTTTCCCCAATTCAGTTTGTTTGAAGTGTGTTATTTCTGCACCACTAATGTTACCAAACAGAATTGCATACATTTTTAAGCATCATTACTCTTCAGTGTCACATGATCCTTCAGAAATCATTCTAATACCTTTCACTTTATTTCAACAATTCATTTTGATTTAACGTCATTGTATTAGGTTTCTCGTTCAAACAGGAATACATTTTGTTAAACAGACTTGAAATGGTTTTTATGAATGTTTTTATTTTGAAAGAACATGTTTCAATTAAGTTGGTCAAAAAATAAATTTCATGTTTATTCAATTTACTTAAATCAAGTTAACTCAAATGCAGTAAGTAAAGTGACTGAAAATAATTGAGTTGAAAGTACATAAATGATTTTAGTTGTGTTAAAGTAGCATTATAGAAACTAGGAACACGATTTCCACTTCCCATCATGCTTTGCACAGGGCTGGATAGGGAATGTAAGTGTTGAAATAAAATGTTATTTTATCCATTTTTATTAAGATGATAAAATTGGGAGATTTCTGTTATGTACCAGTAAGTGTTTTTGGGGGGTTACCATTGTGTAGAGCATGACATGTGCTTGGGTTAAGGACCTTCTAACAGGAATTAAAATAGTAAAAAAAAAAAAACAATGGGCATGCCATGGATGTATCAAAACCATCCTCCGGCTAATACAATGAGAGTCTATACAGTCAATTCTTGTTAGATAACATTTGTAAAAAAAAAAAAAAAAAATTTGTTAGTGAATGCATTCACTAAATAAACTAAATCAATGACACTGGGTTATTTGGTTACATTTTTGTTTGATATTAATTTTTAGGATAATTGAACTTTTTGGACAAAATTAAGAATGCTAACCTGATTTAACTAAATGGCATTGAATTAACCTTATGTAAATAACTAAATGTTGCAACTAACTAAACATAACCCAGTTACGTGGAACCTGTTGACAATTTTTTTTAAAGTAAATCAAACGTATCAGGGTTTTTTTAAGCTCAGGAAATATTTCTTATTATCATCAATATTGAAGACAGTTGTGCCTCTTACTGAAACCATGATATTTTTCCAGATTTTTTAGAAAGTTTAAAAGAACAGCATCTATTTGAATTAAAAAATATTTTATAACATTATAAATGTAGCCTATAGGGGGAGGGGCCTACTGGCTGCACGAAATTTTTATTTTTTATTTAATAATTTTATTTTATTTTAAATGGGAGATTACAGCAGGGACAACTGCATTCTATACCCAAACTCAAACCCATACATTTTCAGGAATCACAACCGCATTTTCAGCGAAGCCCTGCTGTGTGGAGCCGGACTGTTTTCTATAACGTCATACAGTGCGAGAGTATGGAAGCATATGGGTAGCAATATTCAATTTGAAATGTAATATGCAAAATGACAGTGCAATATGTAAAATGGCATTGCATTCTGTATTTAAATTTACATTTTACATTACCATTCTAGCAACGTTTGGGGCAAAAATGAAAATGAAATTACATAATTTACATTTGCCATTTCATACACTAGTTTTAATATGCATATTGAAATGCTTTATAAGTTGCAAAATCAAAATGAAAATGCATTACAGAAATGATTAGATATGTGTAGCATGTTCAAGCAAAAACTGTGGCAAAATGATCATTCAAATGTTATTTTTCTTAATTGCATTTACACTCACAGTCAAGACACTTGCGATTGCACTTTCATGAAATGTCCCGCAATGAATGTAGCAAAATTCAATGTGCACATTGAAAATGCATTCCGAGCCGATCACGCCCCCTCCTGCCCTGTCAATCACTGCATCAAGGCGGGGCTTAAGTTGTGTTGTTTCTCTCTATGGAACTGGTCGGGGGTATTACGCAGAGGGTCAAGAAGGTTCAAGTGAGGCAACATGGACAAGTCAGTTCCACAGCTTCTCCGAGAAGCTGCACAAGCAATAGAGCGACAAAGTGCAAATGCTGCCCCTGCAAATGCTTAAGCATGACGCCTCCGGATCGAAGTGGTGGGACACGGGGTAAGTTGACAGAAAGAGAAGAGACAAGGGGGTCGGTCAACGGTCGTCAAACGGTTAGACCTAGGGTTGCCAACTTTCACTCCGGGTCTGGACTGTGGAGTGTATTTGACGATCACACTCTTATGTGACCATAGAGCATATGTACGAAAAGTGCTCGTTTTGGCCAAAAAAAAATAAAAAAATACTGGGTGACACCCGGCTTTACCTGCGGCTGCGGTCACACAGCCCGTTCTCATCCTTTGGCGTCATACATGTGACGCTTTGTACATTTCGTTGAAATCTTACGCACATGGCATCCTTTAGCATCAATATGAGACGCAGAACCCAAGGCGTCATACAGGTGACGCTCATCTAAATCCAACGCACATGGCATCGTTTAGCGTGAATATGAGACGCAGATCCCAAGGCTTCATAACCGTATCCTACCCCAGACCTAAACCTACCCATAACAGTGCGTGTTATATTGACGCTAAAGGATGCCATGTGCGTAACATTTCGACGAAATGTCATATGGCGTCACCTATATGACGCCAAAGGATGAGAATGCGTTGGGTCACACTACCAACCCCTTGTCTCTTCTCTTTCTGTCAACTTACCCCGTGTCCCACCACTTCGATCCGGAGGCGTCATGCTTAAGCATTTGCAGGGGCAGCATTTGCACTTTGTCGCTCTATTGCTTGTGCAGCTTCTCGGAGTTCCATAGAGAGAAACAACACAACTTAAGCCCCGCCTTGATGCAGTGATTGACAGGGCAGGAGGGGGCGTGATCGGCTCGGAATGCATTTTCAATGTGCACATTGAATTTTGCTACATTCATTGCGGGACATTTCATGATAATGTAATCGCAAGTGTCTTGACTGTGAGTGTAAATGCAATTAAGAAAAATAACATTTGAATGATCATTTTGCCACAGTTTTTGCTTGAACATGCTACACATATCTAATCATTTCTGTAATGCATTTTAATTTTGCAACTTATAAAGCGTTTCAATATGCATATTAAAACTAGTGTATGAAATGGCAAATGTAAATTATGTAATTTCATTTTCCTTTTCATTTTGCACCAAACGTTGCTAGAATGGTAATGTAAAATGTAAATTTAAATACAGAATGCAATGCCAATTTACATATTGCATTGTCATTTTGCATATTACATTTCAAATTGAATATTGCTACCCATATGCTTCCATACGAGAGAGCCGCTCTTTTCTGAACGCGGGTTCATTCGGTAAGTAACTTACAAAAGCGTGGATATAATCTGCGTGTCATCTGAAGGTTTTAGATCCAGTCACTGATGTCTTCCACCAGAGCTGTTTAAGTGAGATGTGTGGTCTATGTGCGACTCAAATGCTTCGCTCTCTTTTAGATATTAAAGCTGCTGTCGGTTAATTTGACGGATGAACTTGCACCTCGACTTTTTTCGTTTCAAATGTGCTAAGACTTTACAGTTTTATTTGCATTGCCAACTTTGATATTATTAGGCCTACTTAGTCACGGTCACTATAGTTTATAGTCAAATTGATAGATCCGTTGCACTTTCATACAGACATTATTCAAGTTGGGCCAGTTTTTTGAGTATGAATTGAGAATTTGAGTGTCGAGGTATCCTGTTCACACGGTCACCATCTGGTAGAAAAAAAAAGTGTCCATCGAGAGGACGTTAACTAAAAATTGGATTGGACTTTTCAGCTAGAAAAACAAGCAAGAAACATTTCTATGCCAGTTGAATTTATTCATACTTGAGCATAAATTGAAATGTCTATATTGACTTTTGACATTGACATTTTTATTCACGGTAGGGGGGCCTACTGTAATCCTGTAGCCTAGGGGCCTTTGGTTATCTAAGGCGTCCCTGGTTCTTGCTGAATAAAGTTCATTTACTTTAAAAATAATACTGACCTCAAATTTTTAAATAATAGTAAGATGAGCCCTTGCCAAAAAGAAGAACAGAAAATAATTAAAGTAAGTATTTTAAACATTGTAGTTCGGTAGACACACTTCACCTTTTAAGTTTAACACAGTGTCCTAACAGGGTGCAACACCACAAGATTCAAGTGACAGGCAATTTGTCTGTGAAAATGGGGCGTGGCAAACACAATCACACAACAGCCAATAAGAACAGTTCTCACACTCACAACACACTGCAGATGAAGAGCATAAACTAATAAAACAAACCTTGTTTTTTTATGCTTTTGAATGGGCAAATTTTGAACCCTCATGTGGAGGATAAAAGCATTTAAAGGGTTAGTTCGCCCAAAAATGAAAATGATGTCATTAATGACTCACCCTCATGTCGTCCCAAGCCCGTAAGACCTCCGTTCATCTTCGGAACACAGTTTAAGATATTTTAGATTTAGTCCGAGAGCTTTCTGTCCCTCCATTGAAAATGTGTACGGTATACTGTCCTTGTCCAGAAAGGAAATAAAGACATCATCAAAGTAGTCCATGTGACATCAGTGGGTTAGTTAGAATGTTTTGAAGCATCGAAAATAAATTTTGGTCAAAAAATAACAAAAACTACGACTTTATTCAGCATTGTATTCTCTTCCGGTTCTGTTGTCAATCCGCGTTCACGAGTCCACAGTGACGGTGAT